AGTGCTATGACTACTGCTCTGCTCCCCGAAAGGATTCATACCATCCGTACTTAAAGCAAACCTTAAGTTTCTTGCGTCATTTGCAAACTCCGGGAATTCTCTATCGATTGCTCTCCACTGGGACCCATCAGCAGGGTGTCTCAACATATTGTCTACCTTACGGTCTTCTTTGTGCCATTGCAACAACTTTACATGGTCTTTATTTCTGAACAGACATTTCAAGTGTGGTTTTATAGGAGCATACCACATAATCTTGGCAGGGATTTTCTTCGTGGGACGTTCGCCCTCAACATCACCAGGGTCATCTCGCCTGATCTTATACCGCGATGCATGACATACCGGGCATGCATCTAACTTCTCATACTCCTCACCACGGTAAAGGATGCAGTCATTAGGACATGCATGTATCTTCTGGATTTCTAATCCCAAAGGGCAGACTACCTGTTTTGTTTCATACGTAGTGACGGGCAATTCGTTATCCTTCAGAAGCATCTTCTTTTGGATTTTCAGTAACTCCCTAAATCCCTTGTTAGATACACCATTCTTTGACTTCCATTGCAGCAATTCCAGTGTGGTACCCAACTTTTTCTATCCCGCATCACAAGTTGGGTATAGCAATTTCTTGTGATCCTCTAGCATGCGCTCGAACTTGATCTTCTCCTTTTCACTTTCGCATTCTCTTTGTGCGTCATGAATGGCCTGGCCAAGATCATCATCGGGCTCATCTTCTACCACTACCTCTTCTTCAGCTTTTCCCATTGCAATATCATTGAAGGCACCATATTCAGCAATAATGTCATCATCGTCCCATTGTTCTTCTTCACCTTCTTCTATTACAACCCTGGTTTTTCCGTGCTTCGTCCAACAAATATAGTTTGGCATGAAACCCGACTTCAACAAGTGTGAATGAAAACTCCTTGAGCTAGCATATTCCTTCAAATTCTTATATATGGCACATGGGCAGCACATGAAACCATCGCGTTTGTTTGCCTCGGCCACACGTAAGAAAGAATGCACGCCCTCAATGAACTCTTGGGAGCGGCGATCAGCATTGTACATCCAATGCCGGCTCATCTGCATTACATGACATACATACCATATTAAAACCTAGAACATAATTAGTTAATTATACGACATGCATGCCACCACATAAGGTATTAATTTATGAAAGTCTCGCTACAATGTTGACAATCCCAACTACCAGTAAAAAAACTAAAGCTAAAATGCACTTCAGCAACATAAGGATTTCGCGACCAATCCCAACTAAAATAGACAGATCATGCGTTTGTTCAACATCTATGGGCTTCTTCCGTAGGATCACTGCCTCATCAGCCGTCGTAGCCGCCTGTGCAAGAGAGTTTTGCACGTGTTCAACATACTCTTCCTCCCAGTACTAGCCTGAACATCCAGTGCCATCCCACTGAAATTAAAACAAAAAATTAGAACTTTAATCACAATCATCATGAAAATAAGTATAAATTAACCATAATCATCAAATGCGATAAAATAACTCACATTGCGATCCGGACACTTGTAGAAGATACGGTCTTTGTTGGGACACTCCTTCCTCACCCGGTACTCCATCACAATCTTCTCCTCACACTTGCCGCATGCAATGAGAGGGAGGTCCGGCCTCAATCGCTTTGGAACCCGATGAGAAGCCGAGGACCCAGAAGCAGTTGCCATCTACTCTCTATACTCATTTTTAATATAATATAAATTTCTCATTTTATAAACAAATAAAATTAAAAAACTCTAAAATTCTCTATATCTCTAAACCATGAAGTTTGCTATGCATGCTAAAAATAAAAGATTAATACTAGTTTTGAATAACTACTTTAACCTTCCTTCACCCAAATATGCAAACTTTAAAGTGATTTTGAGCTTAAATGGCTTGCAAATAAAAAAAATTTCCACCATAAAAAACCACATATATCTAGTCTACAAAATGAGATATGCTACTGATAAAATATGAGAGTATAAAGTTGATAACCTTTATAACCGAAGAATCGATGGAGGAATCAAAGAAAATCTTGTGATTACCGGCGATGAGGAAGAAGAGAGGCCGGCGATGAAGCAAGAAAACACTGAGCTCGAAGTGGCTCGGGCTCGGGGAGGAAGAAAGGCTATATAGGAGGGGAACTGTAGTCCCGGTTGGAGACAGAAATCGGGACTAAAGGTCCCTTTCTAGTCCCGGACGGAGCCTCCAGTCGGGAGTAGACTTTTACTCCCGGTTGGAGGTACCAACCAGGAGTAAAAGTTAACCTTTAGTCCCAGTTGGTAGCTCCAACCAGGACTAAAGGTCCCCTGCAGCAAAAGCCTGCCGCAGTAGCCGTTGGGCAGGGACCTTAAGTTCCGGTTGGAGCTACAAACCGGGACTAAAGGTCTCTCTACTCCCGGACGCAAGAAATACCGGGACTAAAGCCAAATTTCGAGGCGGGATCAAAGGTCGTTTCTCTACTAGTGATAGTGAGATTTAGAAAGGCTCTTGGAGATGCTCTAAGAGTTTGTAAAAGCTCATGTAAAAAATTCACTAGGATTATGATTCCTCCTTGTTCTCCTCCTCCTTTGTTTGTAAATTAGTCCGCAAGTTTTACAACATTTCCTTTGGGCAATTAAGAACTTCAATAAAAAATTAGTGGGAAAAACAATTTTTGGAGAAAAGAGCACATTGCATTCGCAAGTTGAGTTGCACATATATTGCCTCAATAAAAATCTTGTGCGAGAAACCTTCGTGTAAAAACCCATGTATGGAAAAGAGTAGAACACTTGACGTCCTTAGTCATGTATTGATTGGGATCATCAGTTATTCTTGAATAGATGTTGATCCTTATGATCTACGCATAAACTTCAATGTGTTAGCAAATATAATCTTCTTGACCTTTGTAATATAATTGTTACTCCCTCCATGTCCCTAAAGGAAGTCCTTATTTTGGACATCGGCATGGACTCCAAAAACAACTTTGACCGTTACTTTTTCTATGAAATATTTATAAAATATAGTTAATATGTATACTTTTATAAAACTACATGTCAAGATAAATTTACTTACATCACTTTTATATTTTCAAACTCAACCCAAACGAATTTTTCTGTAGTCAAAGTTTAAAATGTTTGACTTAAAACAATCTCAAAACGACTTGCTTTAGGAACATGGTGGGAGTACCTCATAAGCTATCCTTTAAACTTGATTAATATTATTCAAAATATCATTACCACATCTTTCATGAATGCATGCATTACTAATGGCATACAGTTCCAAAATACTATGTCCTTTAAAGACTTGGATTGCAATTGTTCTATGAACTATGATATGAATAAAGAGGAGGAATGTGTTTCATACATAAATGACCACTTATTCAGCCTGTTCGCTTGCTCGTATACGATCGTGGATTATAAGCTGGAACAGTATTTTTCTCTCACACCAAACCAACCAGCAGTAAATAATCCATGATCGTTTATGACGAAACGAACAGGCTGATTAACTGTGTAAAATAAACACAAACTATCCTTCCAAGATAATAAATCTATTTCAGATGATTATGGAGTAAATGAGTTATAATATTATATATCTTCTTGATATTACGTAGATCTCATACTAGAGTTTCCATACTTGCAACTCTTTCTTGGTGAATTTTTAAATTATATATATGTTCCACAAATCTTCAAGAGTTTGATTGTACACTAAGTAGTAAATCTAGTCTTGCTTTTGCAACAGGGGATAATTCAATTGCTAATATCACAATATTTTTATACCTACTATGGTATTTATAGGATATCACCACTTTATTGTTAGGTTTACTACACTGCATTTTTTTGAGTTTTTATAAGACACCTTTATTGTGTTATGGTTCCTCTTTTGCTTTCTCTCAGGTTTATATTAAATTCTAGGATCCATGGTGTTTATTTAAGAATTGACTAGTACCTCATGGATTAATTCCTTCTAGGATGTTCTCATTCTCGGTGAATATCATTTCTCTTCTATGAGATATATTCTCTACTACATGAAAGATTATTTTGTGACATACACAATTCCTTTTCCTATATATAGGTTGTGCTATTCACCATATTGTCATTCATTGACTTCATTTCTTCTAGGTAATGCTCTTCTTGAGACATTCATATTTTAAGAATATATTCAACCTTAGACTTCTTTATACTTGGCATGAGATTTCATTTCCATATGTTGTGATTTCTGTTCTTTTGGTACTATACGAATTTCGAGAATCCACTTATTAACTAATATTCCATATAGCATAATATTCTTAGCAGGAGACTCAACTTCAATTGTTTTCTTCACTGACCTGACATAATGCTACAAGCTAGTCTGTTCGATCTCCGGATCCAGGCTTTTGTAATATAAACATTTGCAATTATAAAAATATATTGCCGATGACTATATTTTCTCCCAATATTATCATAACATAGATAAATATTTGTTATGCACTTAAATATATGCCATGTCTAGATATATATATAGTAAAATAATGTCTAGGAAAATAAAAGCGTCTTATAATTTAAAACGGAAGAATAATGTTCCATTTCTGCTTTCCACAACTGTTTATTGTTCCACGATCTCTAAACAAAGAACGAAATGCTGTTTAATATTGAGTTGTCTCCACTTAAAGATAAATGAATGTTACGGTCTTCTCTCTCTTTTGTTGTTTGTTTTTGGGCAGGCAGATCTTTTGATGAGAAACACGTAGAGACGTACGCACTCACGTCTGTCACCCGACACGTTCGTCCCAGACCTCAAAAGACTGTCCCCTCAGCGCTCGAAAAGAAGAGAAGACTGTTTAAGTTTGGTTGACGACGACTTGCAGGATGCCACCAGCCGAGAGACGGTTTTTTTCCTTGAAAGATGTGGGCAAAAATAGTCGACGAGAGCAAGGTGCACTCGACGCTACAAATTCGTTCCATGGAGCTGTTTTGCACACGGGCACAGAGAGACAGAGGCACGTTTGAACCTAGAAGGAGTGACGGACGTACACACGGAGATCATGCTGCTGCTCTCACACTCATCGTCTGCTACTACCACCCACGGGCTAGCAGCAGCGCCGCCGGCTTGCTCCCGGCGCGCGCGCCTCCTGCTTCCACGCGCGCGGGCCGCCGACACAACGGGCGTCGGCGCGGACCGCGCGGCTGAGGCGCTTCTCCAGAGCGGGCTGCGGCCGGAGTCGCTGCCGCGGCACGTCGCGGTGGTGATGGACGGGAACTCGCGGTGGGCGCGCGCGCGGGGGCTGACGCCCGCGGATGGCCACAAGGCCGGGGGCCGCAACCTGGAGCGGATCGTTGGGCTCTCGCGCGCCTGGGGCATCCGCGCTCTCACCGCCTTCGTCTGCTCCCGCGAGAACTTGAGCCGGCCCATGGCTGAGGTCGACTACATGATGGGTTTGTCCGAGTGGCTGATAGGCGACAACATCGACAAGCTCTCGAGGTCGACTACACCTACACCTGCATAGCACAAAGCCACAGACTAAACCATATGATTCACGTGATTTTTACTCGTTCCGCTTCCGTTCAGGCAGGGGATCCGGCTGCAGGTCATCGGCGACACCACAAAGATGCCAGGCTCTCTGCGGAGCGCGGCGGTGCAAGCCGACGAGGCCACGAGGCACAACTCGCAGCTGCACCTGATGCTGGCCATCTGCTACAGCGGGCGATGGGACATGGTACAGGCGTGCCGGGAGCTCGCCCGGGAGGCGCAGGCGAACCAGCTCAGTCCGGACGACATCGACGAGTCGCTGGTCGCCGGCAAGCTCGCGACGAGCGCCGCCGGCGAGTTCTCCTGCCCTGACCTGGTCATCAGAACCAGCGGCGAGCTGAGGCTCAGCAACTTCCTGCTGTGGCAGTCGGCGTACTCGGAGTTCTTCTTCACCGACAAGATGTGGCCGGACTTTGGGGAGGCTGAGTACCTGGAAGCGTTGCGCTCCTTCCAGGGCAGAGATCGGCGATTCGGCCAATCGAGACTACTCTAGCTCCGAGCCACAAAAGAAGGTGTCGGTGTCGCGTGTAATAGGCAGCATTTGTTCAATGAACACGTGGCTTTGTCTATGAGAAAAGCAGAATCACATCAACCGGTTGTTTCTGTCCTCCTCAACAGGAGAGATTTTACAGCCGTCAGATCTTCTTCAGCCATCATTTCTATCCTTCGGATCCAGTTACCGTCTGGGTGCTGCTGGTTTGTCTGTGTTGTGCCACTGACAAGGCACGGGTGGGCCTCACCTCAACTGTACGCTAACCCGAGCTGCTATTCATTGTTTTGGCTTCTACCAAAATTATCCCAAACGAGGTTCACGTGGAGGTGCCCCTTTTCGGCCGGGCAGGCGTCGGTGCTGCGGGTCCAAACACCCCCGCCGTGGCTTTGGGGCTGCTGCCAATGCTGTGCCCCGCATTGACATTAGGAGACAGGGATACACTATTCCACCTTCGCTGGAGGACGGTGGGCAGGCTCCACGTGAGATAGCACTCGCAAACTTCATCCCTTCAATAACCAAACCTGTACGGCAATCCTTGCTAACTTCGTTGTGTCGGTATTTCGTAAACCAACGAGTGAATTTTATGAGTATCGCGTTATTTTAGGAAGACGATGGTAGCACTCAAAGATAAAGAATTATACTGGTTCAGGTCGGAGCTCTACGTTCAGTCTCAGAGATAGTTGCGAGTTCGTGTTCGTCGGTTCAAGTGCTCTTAAGTCTAACAATGGGGGTGTGTAAAAGCTCATGTAAAAAATTCACTAGGATTATGATTCCTCCTTGTTCTCCTCCTCCTTTGTTTGTAAATTAGTCCGCAAGTTTTACAACATTTCCTTTGGGCAATTAAGAACTTCAACAAAAAAATTAGTGGGAAAAACAATTTTTGGAGAAAAGAGCACATTGCATTCGCAAGTTGAGTTGCACATATATTGCCTCAATAAAAATCTTGTGCGAGAAACCTTCGTGTAAAAACCCATGTATGGAAAAGAGTAGAACACTTGACGTCCTTAGTCATGTATTGATTGGGATCATCAGTTATTCTTGAATAGATGTTGATCCTTATGATCTACGCATAAACTTCAATGTGTTAGCAAATATAATCTTCTTGACCTTTGTAATATAATTGTTACTTCCTCCATGTCCCTAAAGGAAGTCCTTATTTTGGACATCGGCATGGACTCCAAAAACAACTTTGACCGCTACTTTTTCTATGAAATATTTATAAAATATAGTTAATATGTATACTTTAAAACTACATGTCAAGATAAATTTACTTACATCACTTTTATATTTTCAAACTCAACCCAAACGAATTTTTCTGTAGTCAAAGTTTAAAATGTTTGACTTAAAACAATCTCAAAACGACTTGCTTTAGGAACATGGAGGGAGTACCTCATAAGCTATCCTTTAAACTTGATTAATATTATTCAAAATATCATTACCACATCTTTCATGAATGCATGCATTACTAATGGCATACAGTTCCAAAATACTATGTCCTTTAAAGACTTGGATTGCAATTGTTCTATGAACTATGATATGAATAAAGAGGAGCAATGTGTTTCATACATAAATGACCACTTATTCAGCCTGTTCGTTTGCTCGTATACGATCGTGGATTATAAGCTAGAACAGTATTTTTCTCTCATACCAAACCAGCCAGCAGTAAATAATCCATGATCGTTTACGATGAAACGAACAGGCTGATTAACTGTGTAAAATAAATAAAAACTATCCTTCCAAGATAATAAATCTCTTTCAGATGATTATGGAGTAAATGAGTTATAATATTATATATCTTCTTGATATTACGTAGATCTCATACTAGAGTTTCCATACTTGCAACTCTTTCTTGGTGAATTTTTAAATTATATATATGTTCCACAAATCTTCAAGAGTTTGATTGTACACTAAGTAGTAAATCTAGTCTTGCTTTTGCAACAGGGGATAATTCAATTGCTAATATCACAATATTTTTATACCTACTATGGTATTTATAGGATATCACCACTTTATTGTTAGGTTTACTACACTGCATTTTTTTGAGTTTTTATAAGACACCTTTATTGTGTTATGGTTCCTCTTTTGCTTTCTCTCAGGTTTATATTAAATTCTAGGATCCATGGTGTTTATTTAAGAATTGACTAGTACATCATGGATTAATTCCTTCTAGGATATTCTCATTCTCGGTGAATATCATTTCTCTTCTATGAGATATATTCTCTACTACATGAAAGATTATTTTGTGACATACACAATTCCTTTTCCTATATATAGGTTGTGCTATTCACCATATTGTCATTCATTGACTTCATTTCTTCTAGGTAATGCTCTTCTTGAGACATTCATATTTTAAGAATATATTCAACCTTAGACTTCTTTATACTTGGCATGAGATTTCATTTCCATATGTTGCGATTTCTGTTCTTTTGGTACTATACGAATTTCGAGAATCCACTTATTAACTAATATTCCATATAGCATAATATTCTTAGCAGGAGACTCAACTTCAATTGTTTTCTTCACTGACCTGACATAATGCTACAAGCTAGTCTGTTCGATCTCCGGATCCAGGCTTTTGTAATATAAACATTTGCAATTATAAAAATATATTGCCGATGACTATATTTTCTCCCAATATTATCATAACATAGATAAATATTTGTTATGCACTTAAATATACGCCATGTCTAGATATATATATATTAAAATAATGTCTAGGAAAATAAAAGCGTCTTATAATTTAAAACGGAAGGATAATGTTCCATTTCTGCTTTCCACAACTGTGTATTGTTCCACGGTCTCTAAACAAAGAACGAAATGCTGTTTAATATTGAGTTGTCTCCACTTAAAGATAAATGAATGTTACGGTCTTCTCTCTTTTGTTGTTTGTTTTTGGCAGGCAGATCTTTTGATGAGAAACACGTAGAGACGTACGCACTCACGTCTGTCACCCGACACGTTCGTCCCAGACCTCAAAAGACTGTCCCCTCAGCGCTCGAAAAGAAGAGAAGACTGTTTAAGTTTGGTTGACGACGACTTGCAGGATGCCACCAGCCGAGAGACGGTTTTTTTCCTTGAAAGATGTGGGCAAAAATAGTCGACGAGAGCAAGGTGCACTCGACGCTACAAATTCGTTCCATGGAGCTGTTTTGCACACGGGCACAGAGAGACAGAGCCACGTTTGTACCTAGAAGAAGTGACGGACGTACACACGGAGATCATGCTGCTGCTCTCACACTCATCGTCTGCTACTACCACCCGCGGGCTAGCAGCAGCGCCGCCGGCTTGCTCCCGGCGCGCGCGCCTCCTGCTTCCACGCGCGCGGGCCGCCGACACAACGGGCGTCGGCGCGGACCGCGCGGCTGAGGCGCTTCTCCAGAGCGGGCTGCGGCCGGAGTCGCTGCCGCGGCACGTCGCGGTGGTGATGGACGGGAACTCGCGGTGGGCGCGCGCGCGGGGGCTGACGCCCGCGGATGGCCACAAGGCCGGGGGCCGCAACCTGGAGCGGATCGTTGGGCTCTCGCGCGCCTGGGGCATCCGCGCTCTCACCGCCTTCGTCTGCTCCCGCGAGAACTTGAGCCGGCCCATGGCTGAGGTCGACTACATGATGGGTTTGTCCGAGTGGCTGATAGGCGACAACATCGACAAGCTCTCGAGGTCGACTACACCTACACCTGCATAGCACAAAGCCACAGACTAAACCATATGATTCACGTGATTTTTACTCGTTCCGCTTCCGTTCAGGCAGGGGATCCGGCTGCAGGTCATCGGCGACACCACAAAGATGCCAGGCTCTCTGCGGAGCGCGGCGGTGCAAGCCGACGAGGCCACGAGGCACAACTCGCAGCTGCACCTGATGCTGGCCATCTGCTACAGCGGGCGATGGGACATGGTACAGGCGTGCCGGGAGCTCGCCCGGGAGGCGCAGGCGAACCAGCTCAGTCCGGACGACATCGACGAGTCGCTGGTCGCCGGCAAGCTTGCGACGAGCGCCGCCGGCGAGTTCTCCTGCCCTGACCTGGTCATCAGAACCAGCGGCGAGCTGAGGCTCAGCAACTTCCTGCTGTGGCAGTCGGCGTACTCGGAGTTCTTCTTCACCGACAAGATGTGGCCGGACTTTGGGGAGGCTGAGTACCTGGAAGCGTTGCGCTCCTTCCAGGGCAGAGATCGGCGATTCGGCCAATCGAGACTACTCTAGCTCCGAGCCACAAAAGAAGGTGTCGGTGTCGCGTGTAATAGGCAGCATTTGTTCAATGAACACGTGGCTTTGTCTATGAGAAAAGCAGAATCACATCAACCGGTTGTTTCTGTCCTCCTCAACAGGAGAGATTTTACAGCCGTCAGATCTTCTTCAGCCATCATTTCTATCCTTCGGATCCAGTTACCGTCTGGGTGCTGCTGGTTTGTCTGTGTTGTGCCACTGACAAGGCACGGGTGGGCCTCACCTCAACTGTACGCTAACCCGAGCTGCTATTCATTGTTTTGGCTTCTACCAAAATTATCCCAAACGAGGTTCACGTGGAGGTGCCCCTTTTCGGCCGGGCAGGCGTCGGTGCTGCGGGTCCAAACACCCCCGCCGTGGCTTTGGGGCTGCTGCCAATGCTGTGCCCCGCATTGACATTAGGAGACAGGGATACACTATTCCACCTTCGCTGGAGGACGGTGGGCAGGCTCCACGTGAGATAGCACTCGCAAACTTCATCCCTTCAATAACCAAACCTGTACGGCAATCCTTGCTAACTTCGTTGTGTCGGTATTTCGTAAACCAACGAGTGAATTTTATGAGTATCGCGTTATTTTAGGAAGACGATGGTAGCACTCAAAGATAAAGAATTATACTGGTTCAGGTCGGAGCTCTACGTTCAGTCTCAGAGATGGTTGCGAGTTCGTGTTCGTCGGTTCAAGTGCTCTTAAGTCTAACAATGGGGGTGTGTAAGCTAAGGGATTCAAGATAGGAGTCAGGTGAAACAAACCCTGAATGGAGTCTCGAGATTTCGTCC